ATATATATATTTATAATTAAATTTTTGTAACAAGAATTCTTAATAATAATACGAGAACTATGAAACAATTATAATAAAAATTATTTTTAAAAATCATGTATATTTTGAATTAATTTCTTTTAAATAAGTTTATATATTTATTTTTTATAAAGTATATAAAAAAAATGTTTTTCAGACTTTAATTTGTTCACATTTAATAAAAAAAATAGCATTAAATGAATATAAAAATTTTGCATTCAATATAAGATCTAATGCATTGATGTCTACTATACTGTATGTTTATAATAAAATCACTGAACAGTAATTTATTCACCAATTTGATTGAAATTTAATTTTTATGGATAAATGCACTTTAAATAAACATCCTGTTATATGCATGGAAAATGGCAAACATATATAATATCTATGCCATAGTTTTTGTTATTGCTATTCACGTAACAGTCAATGGGTGTCGGCTGTTGTTTGATGTAGTGATTGGCGCCGTTGGGTGTGGTGAGGGTTAGCGCCGGTCGTCGGCCGCCATCGTCCACATTCAATGTGTACGGCCGCCGGCCAGTCATCATTGGATCTTGGTACATTTCGCAACACGCAGCGTAATGCTCATCATGGTGCATGTTTATAATAGCTTTGCTTGTACTGGGTATCGGTATATCCGGTGCCGGCGTTTCCTGTATTATCATTGGGCTAATGGCGGGCGTTATCTGAGCCCCCGGTGACTGATGGGGCGCGCCGTTAGATGTTTGGCACACGTATTGTGTGTGATTGTTGTGATGATTATTATTTGTATTATTATTATTATTATTTGTATTACTATTACTGTTGTGTACACTATTCATAAACACTGACGACTCGTCCCGTTTAATAGCCTTATAGTAGTCATTATATACAGAATTATTTACAGAATCCATAGTGTATTGTACTGTATGTGTGGAAAATTCACTAATGATGATCACTTAATGTTGAAATGCTGTTGTTGTTGATTGTATTGGCTGGTAATGATGACCAAGGTGATTAAGGTTGTAGTGCCAGGTACCATGTTGCACTTATTTGTGATGATTATGTCTGTATTTCTATGTGTTTATTAATATGTTTTTGTAGAATATTCTTGAATTCTTTAGCAATAATTATGATTTAGTCCTGTATTGTGTTTAGCGAATAGTTGTGTTATTATTATTATTATTATTATTATCACGATTATTATTATTTAGACCAAAGAATGTGTTTACCATATAGATAATTAATGATTATTAGCACGAGTAAATTTTTTTTATAAATAGCATTTTTCTGTTGATAATAACGATTTTCTTGTGAAAAGTTTATTAAAACGATTTGCGCACAAAATCACCACAAATATACATATAAACGCATTTTTAATAACATTATTTTTGTATTTTTTATATTAAACTATGTATTTTATAAATATATTAATTATGGTTATTGCTAGTTTCTCATAGTTGTATTTATTATAATTATTACCTTCTCCATAGTATTATGTTATATATTGAAAACGTTGAGTATATTCAGCAATTAATTAAGTTTTTTGTCCAAATCTATTGATATTACAAAGAAAAATATATGTTTAATTTTGTCATTTTTTATTTAATTTCTATGTAAAGCAAAAAACTTTTATTGATATATAAAATAATGTATATTATTAGTGAACATGCATTGTATGTGGAGTTTTGATATACAGTACAGTATACTACAAATCTATAAATCAATATTAAAAGCTAATAATAAAGTTTTTCGTTTTGTGTATATATTTTTACGTTTAATACTCTCTATAAAATAAAAGCACATTATAATTATCTTTATGATTTTTATAATTTATTTAAATATCTATCATAAGAATATGTAACTAATGATTATTGTATTCATTAAGCTTTAAATAACGATGTTAAAGATATTTAGCGAAACAATTGTCGCAAAGAAAATGCACTCAAAAATGTGCGAACATTTGTTCAGTTAATGTAATATTTAACGTATAAAATAATATATGGTTTTAGTTATAATTAATTTAATATTTCATTTAGTTTTAATGAGGAGACGAGTTATATATTTCAAAATATGTGTGTTATTTTAAAATAACAAAAATAATAAGTAAAATAATTTTAAAACAAAAAGTGATATTTTGGAAAAATTTAAGTTTATAGGTAATAACACTTTTAAGTTTTAAATATATTAAATTAAATTATTACAATAAAAATTTAATATGTAATAATGCATATATTGTTTAAAATTAAACTTATACAGTTGTTTCCCTAATTTCTCAATATTTTTATGTTTTGAACAAAAAGACTGTAAAAAAATTTATTAAAAATTTTAAGCTTAATAATTAATGCATTTCGATAATTATTTTGGACTATTCTACACGTGTTTGTTTACATAAACATTTCTTTATCAATTAATTTTCTAAATAATATTGAATTATAATTTATGTAATAAATGCAATAATAAATATATAAATGTACTATTAATACATAATTTTTAAATATATTATTTAAAAGTAATTATATAATTCGTAAATATATTAAAAATAAATTTATCTAGACGATTATTATTTATATAAATCTCACGGCACCGGTAATAATAATATGTTTGGATAAATGCAATAATCCATACAATAGTATAAAGAACATTATATAAGTTATTGAGTAGAAAGAAATAATTTTTGTATTTAGGATATAAATTAATATTATATATTTTATTATTTATTCCGTGTATTGTTGTTATTATTATGACTACAATTCTACAGATTTCTGTCACTGCCTAATATTATTATTGCAATTTAGTATCGGTTGCCAAGTGTTACACATAAATATATGTTTATTATTATTACGTTTTACAGTAGAATAAAAATATTATATTTTGGGCACAGAATTGTTTATATTTAAAATTTCTGTTAATTTTTAAAAATTATAATATAGTATTAGTGCAAATATTTTAAAATCCAACATTTACAAACTGACCCAAACTATGCGATTAAACGATTGTATATTTTACTAAAATATTAATACTAATAGGTAATATTTTAATCTAACTAAAATAATTAATTCTGTTCATATCATACGCTAAAATTAGTTTATGATATTTTTTTATCCAATATTAAAAAGAGGTCACAGAAGGGAACGGTAGTTATGGTATATTTAGTTATATATACTGTATTTTTACTAATGAATTCACTATACAAACGTGTTGTGTATTCATTATTACAATTATTCTGTAATAATAATAATCGTAATGTTTTTTCATTTATATAATGACATGAATATCAATGCTATAAATGAGAGCCTCTTTTCCATAGCGATTGCTTTGTTGTTGTTTTTGATTTTGCGTGAATTACATTAGAAAATTATGTTAAAAATGAACATGGCACTTTATTTAAATTTAAAATAATAGGTATTTATTCTATATAAAGCAGATATAATATTATATATAAAGCAAATTCACATTTATTTTTGACAATTTTGTGCTTGTACTCAAGACAATTAACAAATAAATGTAATCAAACACTTAACATGTGTATTGCATTAAGAACTTTTGTAAATCAATTGTTATTTAATTAACCATTTAATACTTTGGGGACAATTAATTATTCAAGATGCACTACAACTGTCAACCATGATAAATATTTCTATATGATAGTCAAATGTGCACAATAAATATTCTGGGAATTGAGAATATATTTCTCATATTACGGCCAAATAGATAGGAATTTAATTTACTATTGAGATATATGAATAAATTATTGGATTTTCGCATACATCCCTACTGATAATACATATGAACAGAGAGAGAGAGAGAGAGAGAGAGAGAGAGAGNTTAAAAATTATTTTTGTATTGAATTAATAATTTAGTATTTATCTTAAAATGTTGGAGAGAGAGAGAGAGAGAGAGAGAGAGAGACTGAGAATATTCTGATATAACTAAAGTATAAATAGTTTGTGAATTGATTTGAAACGCAAACCAAATTAATTACATCCACAGGAATTTGCCAATCATTTGTGATGGCATTCAATGGCCTAATAATAATACTCTATGGCATAGATATTATATATGTTTGCCATTTTCCATGCATATAACAGGATGTTTATTTAAAGTGCATTTATCCATAAAAATTAAATTTCAATCAAATTGGTGAATAAATTACTGTTCAGTGATTTCTTTATATATTATACATGTATAGTAGACATCAATGCATTAGAATTTATATTGAATGCAAAATAAATTTTATATTTATTTAATACTATTTTTTATTGAATGTGAACAAAATCAAAGTCTGAAAACATTTTTTATATACTTTATAAAAAATAAATATATAAACTTATTTAAAAAAAATTAAAACATAAAGCAATTCAAAATATACACGATTTTTAAAAATAATTTTTACATAGTTTTCGTATTATTATTATAAATTCTTGTTACAAAAATTTAACAATATATTTACCTCAATAGTACAGTAATATCCAATTGTGTTATTCACAGAATAATGCTTTTATCCGTAAATATAATTAAATAATTTTGAAGAATGAATGCATTCATATAAAAGCAGAATAAATGCCAAGAATTTGTGTAAATACAAAATCACAGAATATTCTTATGATTATTAATAATAAAGTGCACAAAAATGCTCATTATTATACAGCACTGTCAATAGACACCAACCAAACCCACTTTGAATAACATTATATTCACATAAATTGTGTGTATAATGAAAAGTAAAGGCAATTAAATCATATAATGAGCTTGCTTAGCTAACTGTGAACAATATGATTTTGTTTGGTCGTCAGTATGTGATGTGTGCGCCACAAAATGCACTGCCAATAGACGTATACACATAGGCCATGCATTCCGGTGCTCAAAAGCAATGTATACGTGGTGTTTGAGAGCACACATACACTCATAACCCAACGCTAAACAATATTATATTGTATGTTTTTGGGTTGTGTGCCAGAGTTGATCATAATGGTTAAATACCAGACCACACATACACTTATACACTATATGCACGATATGCCGATGCACTGTACGATATAATACACTGAGAATTCACTATTATATTGTGAATCAAGTGCTGATAATAAATAATTGAATTATATTTTATATATGATCATATTCTGTGGGTATTCTCTCTACCCATTCATTCAATCACTTCAACCGATACTTTGTTGTTTCGGTTTAGGTTTTTTGTCTACAAAATACTCTCTCTCTCTCTCTCTCTCTCTCTCTCTCTCTTGGTATTGTACAGTATGTTTCGGTGCACTTTGCAAAACACACACATGTATTTCACGCACTGTCTCTCTCTCTCTCTCTCTCTCTCTCTCTCTCCTTTTCCGTCACTTTTGTTTCGGTGAGAAAAACACAACACAATAAATATTTCTCTTGAAAAAAGTTTTTTTCACAATCTTTTACTTTTACTCTCTTTCTTCTTCTCCTCCTCTATTGTGAACCACTATTTTATTTATTATTATTATCTATCAATAGGCACTGAGAGGGCGAGTGTGGTATATGAGAGAGACAGTGCGTGAAATACATGTGTGTGTTTTGCAAAGTGCACCGAAACATACTGTACAATACCATCGATGTAGACAACACTCGCGTGTATATTGAGTATAAGACTGCGAGTGAGTGAGAGTGTGTGTTAGGCGAGAGGGAGTGGAGAGAAAAAGTAAAAGATTGTGAAAAAAACTTTTTTCAAGAGAAATATTTATTGTGTTGTGTTTTTCTCACCGAAACAAAAGTGACGGAAAAGGAGAGAGAGAGAGAGAGAGAGAGAGAGAGAGAGAGAGAGAGAGAGAGAGAGAGAGAGAGAGAGAGA